TTTCTGTAGACTTTAGACTTGACGTAGCCCCACAAAAAATAGTCTAAAGGCGTCAAATCGCATGATTTTGCTTATTTACGAAGCCATTCAACCAGAAATGAGCCTCATCGCTGAACAAAATTTGTCGATAAAAAAGCGGATTTTCTGCCAACTTTTCACACATTCAACACATTTCGAACCGAACACTGATTTTGGTAATAAAATTCAATGATTTGCAAGCGTTGCTCGTTAGTAAGTCTATTCATGATGAAATGTCAAAGCATACTGAGCATCTTTCTCTTTGACACCATGTCTGAAATCCCACGTGATCTGTCAAATACTAATGCATGAAAATCCTAACCTCAAAAAAATCACCCGTTATAAATAAATGTAGGCTTGTATGGGAGTATATTAATGTGCGCGGATGTGTGTGGCCAGACGACAGACACGCCGATGTAAATGCGGTAAGCTTAATAAATCGCTGCATTTTAATGGTCTAAATGAAGTCTTTAATTCGGCTGGGATAAAGCGTTTTGCGGAAGTTTTTCATTATGCTGATTAATTAGTGTTAACAACGAAAGAATACAAGTGAAAAAGTTATCTAGCGTGAAATTCGCTACTTACTTAGTACATAAGTACATACATAGTTGTTTGAGAATATACTTTTTAGAAGAAATGGCATTTCGGGGTTGACAAGCTACGAATCTTTTGCGCGATGGAGATTCCTTCAAACTGTTCTGTGGTCGACAGTGCTCATATGAAATGATTGTTGGTAGACCCATTCGTATGAAAGTTTACCGATGTCTCCGATGTCTTTTCCGAAAAGGACGTGAGTTGAGAAAAAGATTTTTGGTGCTAGTCTATTACCGATGTGTTCCATGTTATTAGATGTAACGTCGAAGTCAACATAAATTTTGGAGTGTCCATAGCGTCAGTAAGTTAGGAAATCGGTGACCCTAAGCCGGACTTCATGTTTTGCTGCAGAAGCGTCAACACCTATGTCGATGGGCATTATGACAAGCTTGGCGTTAAGAAATAAAGTCGGATTGGTCACAAGTGTGACCCTTCGAAACAGCAGAGAACAACTGATGTCTTCTTCAGCCTTTCTCCAATGTTTTCTTTTTTGGAAAATGAAGCGCTAGTACTCAACTCTATCGGAAACATTTCCAATTGAGGAAAGAGTCACTTGGGCGGCTGTCTTAGACTTTCTAGTAGCCATGACTCAATGCAGAGCACTAACTAGTCACCATACCTTTGCATTAGATCATAGCTACTCTCCTCCCCAGCACTGCCAGCAGCTCTTTATGTTGACCACAATTCAAAAAGGGGTGATGAAATGTGTCTTACTCCTGTTTACTTAACACAGAATCGTACCACTGTTTCATTCCGCCGCGACAGTGATGGTCTTCTTTGTGTATGAAGGCTTCAAGCTCATTTGATAGCTAGTATTGATCCATCTGACTTTTCCTTTGGTTGAATGAGGAATCCAAATGTTATACTTACTGCTGCTTTGGCTGGCAGTGAAAACCGTTTTGAGCAATTTTCAATGCGAGTTTGGCTTGATCAATGTCTTTTTATTTATTTTGTGTACTCTCTTGCATTAAACTGTCGAGATCAAATAGAACAGATAAATCGCTTTGTATTTGGTACAAGTCTGGTTATTTTCGTACTAGTTCGGTTTCAGTCAGGAAATTCTAGTTGTCAACTAGTATTTTTTCCTGACTAGTTTGGGGTTTCACTGCACGGTATGTACATACATACAAATGTATAATTCAATTTCAATTTATTGGCGATTAAGCGTGACTAATTTTGAAACCTTTTGCCTACACATAAATTAGCTTAAAATATTGTATGTATTTGCAAATATGCATAAATCTTTATTTACTTAGAGGCCTTTTGAAAATACCTCCTTTAACCTCACTGGTGCGGTTTTTTTCTTACTTTTCGCGTGACGCTTACTACAAAATCTTTTGTGCTACACTTTTTTCTTAAAAATCCAAAAAAAACCTTTGTTGTTTTTATTACACCAGCTTTAAACTTAACGTCTGCCTACACGCTAAAACATCGATGGAAACCAGCAAATATGTATGTATGTATATATGCCATACATATATATGTAGGTGAACAACTGAATATTTTTTCATTAACACTTGCGACTTTTGCGCGCTAGTGTGACGAATTTTCATTGTTCAACGCCGCAATTGTGCAATAAAAATGTTAATTGAATTGGTGTCAGAGGTGGCGGCTAGCAGGCTCAATAGCTATTGTAGCTGACTAGGTGACTGGAGCTGATCGTCACGCTGCACGCCTCCTTGTCCGCCCAGCTAGCTGGCAGTCTGCTTAGCAGCTATGCAAAGATGTTTGCTTTTCGGTAATACTGCGCGCGCGCTCCCTTTTACTCGGCTAATGCACGAGAACACATAAGCGATGTATAAGCAAACATACTTACTTTACACAACAAGAACAACAACAAAAACAACAATGGCAAATATTTGTGCGCATTTTTGCATATCAAGTTCGTGGCTGAAGTCTTTTGTTTTGGCCATCCAAGCCGCGCCGCGCCGCGCCGCGCTGCCACTAAACGATTTCCTTTTTCCTTTGTTTTTTTTTTTGTGCAGCGCCGCAGTTTTGCGCTTTACTTAGCAGCCAGCATAAATTGTTTTTGTTCACTATCCGACTTACTAGCCCAACTTGCAACAATGACATTTAGCGCTGCTGCAATTCACATTTACATGCAGACAATTTATACCTTAGCATGTACTTCACACCTTAGTTTTCGCCAGCGAGGTGCGAGAAATCATTTGCAATAATGGAATAATTGAATTGTGTGCGAGCTCAATTCATCAACTTGCTATTAACGTGTGTGTGTGTGTGTGTGTGTGTGTGGTGGAGTGTAGTATTTGATCGCGCGCCGACACGCTGGCATTTGTGTTAGATACTTAGCGTTTGTTTCTTTAACCATTTGCACTTTTTTCTATCATTCCATCTGTTTTTGGGAATTAAATTTTTTCCATCAATTTGGTGGCAACACTTTTAATGCGTATTCTATTTTTTCTTAAAAGTTTTTGCAAACTTTTTTTTTCTTGCGCTCATTCATTCAAGCTTTAAATGAAGCAATAAATTTGCTCATTGACACCTTAATACTTTTGATTTCATTTGGCTGTCAGCGGTAATACCAACTGAAAAGCTTTTTCAATGCAAAATGCATTTTGGTGGTGAAATACATAAATTACGCTGCCGTTTTTAAAAAAGTAGGTAAATCTTTCAGTCTTAACAGCTCATAAATTAGCATAAATGCCTACGAAAAAGTCTACTGAATTGCGCTGGCTGACTGGCTGGCTGGCAAGCATTTGTGAGTATTTCGCGTATTGCTCAAGCGGTTTAAAAGTAAGTTAGTTCTTATTTTTCTAGCGGAAAAGTGAGAAAATGTGGAAAAATTGCTTAATAGAGGTAAACTTAAAAATTTGAGTTTTAAAAGCATTTAAAGCTTTTTTGAAAAAAGGAGCTCTCCTGGGTCAAACCTTCTTCGAGGCATTTCTAGTGCGTTCTGTTCTGTTGAAATTTGTGTAACTCTTTAGGAAAGCCTGGTTTTAAGTTTCGTATGGGTCTTCGTCTTCGTCTTAGACGTCATATGCGCCTGTATTGGTATTGGTATTCGCCTTCATGCCTATCTTCGTAAACATATTCGTCTTCATCTTCGCATTCGTTTAACTATTCGTATTCGACTTCGTATTCGCCAACCTATTTGGAATTCGAATTAGACTTCGTATTTGTATTGTTACTCGTATTCGTCTTATAATCGTTTTCATCTTTTTATTCGTCTTCATATTCGGTTTCGCATTATTTTTCAACGTCGTATTCGTCTTAATTCATATTCGATTTCGTAGCCGTATCAGTTTTTTCTTCGTCACAGTCTTCGTCGTGGCCTTCGTATTCCTTTTCTCCTTGAAAATCGTTTTCGTATTCTTTAATATATTCGTTTTCGAATTCGCATTCGTCTTCGAATGCTTTTTCGCCTTAGTATACGTCTTCGTGTTCGTATTCCTCTTCGTATTCGTAATCCACTTCGTATTCGCTTTTGCCTTCCTATCGGTGTTTGTATTCGTATTCAGCTTTATCTTCGTCTTTCGTCATCTTTTCGACCTACCTCTCTTGCAACACTGTACCCTTTCTCATTTCCTTCCATTCCCTTGTGGCCTGGTACCCACGTTAGCTGAAACTCGATGTATCTATCAGAAGTTCCAACTTACTTTATTGCTTAAATCTATTTGAAATCTCTTTTCGAAAACTTTCTCTTGAAATTTTGTAAATTTTTTTAGCGTCCTGCTCCATACTTTGGTGAATAGGCTCCAGCTCGATAATTACTACGAGAGCTGTCATAAGGCATGTTGGCGTTGTTCCTTTTATTTGTACACATGTCAGTCAATTAAGCTTAGTGAGCTATTACCTCGTTACCTTGTTAGAATAGTTCTTGAGAAGATCCAAATTACCGCCTAATAACGTACTGAAGATGTTGTGCGATCATGGTGGATAGTTATCTTACGATTTTAGTGCTACAGTCCCAGAACTTTCCCACCCGACACTTACTTTCATAGTTCTGGAGATGGACGCGTCCACTTATTTCTTTCATAGAAGTTTGGTGGCTAGGATGAGCTCCACATATTCCACTTCACTGGCGAGACTAATGACACTCCGATGCAGAGGTATATTTCAAATGCCTGCTAAGGATCTCATCGTAGTGAAGAAGTAATGGCTGCTTTTGTTGGACTCATGTTGAGCTCCAATTAGGGATATCATGTTTTCGTTGGTCATAAGTCTCATTGTATGCTATCTAT